AAGAACTTCCATAGATATTGCCGCAAAGTCATAGCTATTGGCAATAGGCTATGGCTAACGTGCGGTATCACAGCTACTGGCACTAGGCCATAGCTATTGGCACCACTACAAGGCCATAGCTACTGGCAATAGGCTATAGCTAACGTGCGGTATCACAGCTACTGGCGCTAGACCATAGCTATTGGCACCACTACCCCCTTTAGCTGAAGTGCTATTACGAACAACTTCCCAAGATATTGGCGTGAGACCATAGCTATTGCCAACAGGCTATGCTAAGGTGCGGTATGCGCTATGCGCTATAAATTTGTTCCTAGGTCCCTAGCTATCTCTGTCTAGTATTGTCTACCTATCCTCGCTACGTGTATTTTGCTTCCGACTTCTCCTATTATGAGTCTATAAATAGACATGACTATATACATTTTCTCTATTTTGTGTGCATATTCCCTCCTTCACAAGTGTTTCTACGTTGTAGTGGATAGTGAATATCTGCATGAATACGTCTATTTAATTCCTGCACAGGTCTATATGAAAGGAAAGCGACAAGTCGACGTCAACAACATATGCTGAGCTCAGCCGTACACGTCACACAAGCACTCACAAAAGGAGCAACACAGCAGATTATTATGTGAAAAAGTCGGAACTAAAAATTGAAAAAGCTCATCGAAAAATAATAAAGTAGAACCAAGAGTGATGCAACCATAGCATAGCCTAGAAAAAAAAAAAAGCTATGGAGGCGCAAGTCTGGCATCCCTCTACCGGTTTCAGGCGGAGCCAGAATCCAGCCTCATCAGGAGGGAAAAAAACAACTTGGAGGTTTATGTTTCCAATCTATGAATGGTAGTATACATGCACATATACGCTCTGTGTGCCTATTTACAAATACGTTCCTATGTAGTGAATACTATCCACGTACATACATATTATTTATATACCGTAACACAAGCACATATACGCTGTGGCTATTTATACATATATATTGCTATGTATGTGAAATATCCACATACACATGTATATATATCGTCACATGATAGGTAACGTATATAGTGACATATGACAATTTTGTGACAATATAAATAGGTATAGTGACATATGGTTATTGTCTACACATTTCTCTATTTTTATATTTTCAGTGCACCCACAGGCACAAGGCGATTTCCGACATATATAGCAGGTCATGCGCCGTAAGTATAGCCGTATTGTTCTTGGACCCTGTCGCACTATTTTCTCTCTTCGGATACGTCTATAGCACAGTCACTTTCTATAGACACAAACCCATCATACTATGCCTATACGTTTACAATGTCTATGTTTACTGTACAGTTACTTATGTACCCGCAGCTATAAGATGATATCCGATGGTTAGCAAATAACAACTCAGATCCTCAGCAGCATGTCTATACTTTATATAGACGTGACCCAATACGATGTCTATACGTTCACATGTCTGCACTTTGTATAGACATACTGTATTCGTGCGTACGCATAGTGCATCGGTATGTTGACACGTGTAAACTAATCGAACGAATGTACCGATCAGGGAAGTCGGAATTAATTAAAAAACATAACCCTCCCAAACTTAAGAAAAAGTAATTAAAAAAAAGTACTTACAAAATAATCGACGGTTGTGCTCACCGGGACATCAAGAAGATTCGCATGCCCTCAGTGTAAAAATGACGCGCAACCAACTGGCCTACCATCTTCACCCTAATACAACGCTCGGTCATTATAGCTGTATTTGGCACAACTTTCGGTCCAGATGCAGCGATAATGACTGGGCGTTCTATTCGGGTGAAGACGGTAGCTCACAGCTGGTACACCCCTGAGCTGTTGAAATGCAGACCCAAGTTGGAACTCCAGTGGAAATAAAAATGAGTAAAATACCTCAAGGCCGTCATTTTTCCAACAACAAAAAAAAAAAAGGCCGTTCAATGCCGATTAGCAAGGGCCGGTCAGTTGCATGATGATATCTCAAGGCCGTAGTTTTCCCGAAAAAAAAAAAAAAAAAAAAAAAAAAGAGGAAAGGAAAATGACGCGCACAACTCGCGAACGGTCCCAAAACAAAATAAATAATAAAGGCAACGGATGATCGATCCATATAGACTAAGTAGGACTCCGACCAACTTTCAAAAAAAAAAAAAAAAAAAAGAAGCAGACGATGATGGATCCATGTAGACTATATGTTAGAGTTGGACCAGTCGGTGCTGGAGCATGGTCCCACTAGCGAAGGGGATTGGATTAAGACCCTGAATCTGGGCGTGTTTTAGGCAGAGATGCAGAAAAGGAGTTCAATCTCGATTTTCTGCACTTGTCCACAAACCCGGCCAGATTCAGGCGTGTTCAATCCAATCCTGACTGTCAGTTGGAATCATAGATTTATATGTCTTTTCCTTTAACTTGAATCTCTATATTATCTAAACAAAGGAAAGCAGTTTTGCTAGTGGGACTTCGCCCCTGGATGCGTTTGTACGTTTCGTGACTCGTTCTTCCTATCGAATTAGATTTTATTGTTTGCTTTTCGATACCATTTCTTTTTTTTTTTCCCTTTGTTTTTTTTTTCCCGATAGTTGGCTGGACTACAACTTATGGGTGCAGTCAGCACCGTTCGACGACGCACATGAATATTCGAATAAATATTTTGAAAATAAAACTCAGAAAACAGGCATCAGGCAAACAGAATTCATTACATACTTCCAAAAAAAAAACTGATCCTCTCTGGCTGAATAAATGCGCAGTTAGAATCCCTCCAAACTGAACCCCACACATTCTCCGATTAATATATTGTTCATCGATAATAAATTAATAATTTAAACATACACATACTAGTTAATAGTTATTGAACTAACCGCGAAGTACTAACTTAAAAAGACTATAGAACTACCGATGGGCCTAAGTAGCTCAGTTGGTTCACCCATGAATTGTTGAAATACAGGGCCTAAGTAGCTCAGTTGGTACACCCATGAATTGTTGAAATACAGACCTGTAATCGAATCCAGATGAGTGACAGACAAGAATTCTGAGGTATATTGGGTCAGCCAGTTCGATGATGATATCTCAAGGCGCCCTTATATCGTCACAAACAGAACTGCCCGGTATATATATAAATATATATATTGTCACACTGTGAACTACAGCGAAGTACTAAGTATAGGACCGCATAGCTATAGCCAAAGACTTCAAATTGAGCCGCTACGACGTCAAGCTAACACTTCAACCTAAGCCGACTAATTCTCTGCTTATACTTCATCCTGAACGACATTTCATTCGTCCATTCATTCATTAAGAAATGCTAAACACAGGAAAAAAACTGCGTGCGGGCAGTCCATTTCTGCACTTTCATTATGAGCATGCAGTAACCTACGTACTTTCAATATAAGAGTATTTTTAGCGCAAGATGAAAAATAAGATCCACTTTTCTTTTAACTCTCGACATCATCGAGTACCTATGCATGTGTGTATATGCATATACACGTATGTATGTATGTATGTATGTATGTATGTATGTATGTATGTATGCATGTATTGTATGTATGTTACAGTATGTATGAATAAATATATCATCACATAAATATCAGAGCGCAAATGCGAAAAAAAGAAAAACAGGAAAAAATGAATTCTGTTTTTTATCTTCTTCCTTACAAGACTCCCCCTGTTCAGAACCTCTTGCGTACAAGGCCGCCCACTTTGATGTAGGTTGAGCGGCGGCTGCCCCCACCCCCGTGTGTCATATCGACCCACTTGCACATAGCCAGAAGGCAAAGAGGCAAAGAAAAGAGGAAGGGAACAACCAAATAATACAGAACAGGGGGCAACAAAACAAATCCCAGATGACAAGTCCCACATATATAAATGAATGAATGTATGCAGGCATTGTAAAACACCTATGCATGTACGTATGTATGTAGATAGATATACAATGTATATACATAGATATGTACGTATGTGTGTACATAGATCGACATGTATGTATGTATGTATGTATCTATGTATCTATGTATGTATGTATGTATGTATGCATGCGTATTCGGTGTTGTGGTGCATGGAGCACCACATGTCACAAAAAGCAGGACTGTGATAGACTGTTCTTGGAACTTTCACTGACCCATCATCAGGAGGTCGAACCTGTGGACAGTTTGCTCAGTGTACATCTGACTGATGATGGATAGGGGAATCAATCACGAAGTTGCTCAAAGTTAGCGATAACCTTGAGAGAGGAAAGTGATTGAATCCGCTTACACCAACTTCGTGATTGATTCCCCTTCGCGATTGAATCCTAGCAGACTGTGTACTAATTCGAACGCCTGACAAGACTGGCAGCAAGTCCGGAAAACCACCGCCTTCATCCGAATAGAACGTACGGTCATCATCGCTGTATCTAGACTGAAAGTTGGCCCAAATACAGCCATAACGGCCGTGCGTTCTATTAGGCTGAAGACGGTAGTCAATCACAGCCAAAGAACCCACCACTCTACACACCCACTCAACCACACATAGCCACTGGCATTACCGCAGCACCGTCTTTCACCCAAATAGAACGCCCGGTCATTATACCTGTATTTGACACAGCTTTCGGTCCAGATGCAGCGATAATGACCGGGTGTTCTACTCTGGTGAACACTGTAGTTCGAATTGCAAACTCACCTCAATCCGCCTCTCAACGGAGACCTACTTCCACTGGAAAGCTGGGCAGCAAGCCCGTAATACGTCTCTGTCTGTCTCTCAGTCTGTCTGTCTTTCTCTCTATTTTTTTTGTCTGTCTGTCTGTCTGTCTGTCTGTCTGTCTGTCTGTCTGTCTGTCTGTCTGTCTGTCTGTCGGTCGGTCGGTCTCTCTGTGGATGTATACATGTACAAAAGCTGACGGCATGTTGCAATTACACAGCGTGATGAAGGATTACAAAGAGCATGTGAAAAAAGAACAAAAAAAAAAAACAAAAAAAAACAAAAACAAAGAGTATGTGTGGGGAAAGAAGGGGGGAGGAGAAGAAAGAGAGCACAAGTCTCACCGTTAGAGTGGATGATCTTTCTGACAATCTGGCAGCCTGCACATTGTCCCATTTCCGGCTTGGGGCTGATGGGGCATCCTCCTCCTCCTACTCCTCCATCAAACCTGGGAGTACTCCAGTCAGTGCCTAATAACCAGCTCCCTGATCCTCCTGCTCCCCCGACTACTCCACCGATGTTGTAACCTCGATTTGCTGCCGCCATGGCTGCTGACGTGGCTCCAAGCGCTGCAGAGGCTGCCGCAATCGCCCCGCTGGCTGTCGCGATCTCATGAATCAGTCTATCTGGGACCGATCCGGACCCTGAGCCATAACAAGAACCTCCTACACCCATTAAGCTAATAGCCTCCCCTCCTCCTCCTCCTCCTCCTCCTCCTCCTCCCCCTCCTCCTCCTCCTCCCATGCTCCCAGCCATACTTGCCATATCACCATTGTCCATGCCTCCGAATAGAAAGTTCCCTGTTGTTGTTGCCGTCAACATTGAGGACGTTTGCCCCAGAGTTATAGGCGGCAGATGATCGACTGCTGTTGCCGTCAACAGCGATGACGAGCTCAGCAGAATTCCCCCTGGACTCCCCCCTCCCGCTCCCACTCCTCCTCCCCCTCCCGCTCCCCCTCCTCCCCCTCCCCCTGCCCCCCCCCCGACTCCCGCATGCGTCCCATATGCTGTTCCCGCCATCGTGGAGCAGCTCTTAAAGATCTGACTCCCTGTTGGGGGATTAGGAGGATAAGGTATGGTGATGTTGAAGGGGAAGAAGGAGACCTGCTGTTGCTGCTGAGAGGATGAAAGGGGGACTCCTGGAGGGGGGGGAGACGTGGGTGGAGGTGCATGATGGAACATCGACATCGCCTGAAATCCCGGGGAGTGTGCGGCTGAGGAGTTGCCCACCATCGCCAAGGAAGATTCGATTGCGTCCGCTTCCCTTGCCCCCCCCCTCCCTCCTCCTACCCCTGCTCCTAGACCACCTCCTCCTGCAATCGCTAATGCTCCACGTGGCTGTCCGCCGCGCATTCTGGTTGCCGTCATCATTAAACTTTCCGAGGGATCGCCAGCATCCATTCCAGTTTGAAAGACTGACCCAACAGTGAGATCGAGATCTGTTCCGCTTTGACAGCGAAATTGCATAGCAGCCGTTGATGTCGTTCTTGACGTGTAATGCGTTGCTGCTGCCACGTGTCCTCTGGACACCACTGCGCTGAGATCCCCTCCCCCCTCCCCCCCTCTCCCTACCCCGGCCTCCAAGTTCCCCGTCCTCTGACCAAAAAGCGCGTGACACATATCCCCCGCCACCTCGTTGCTGTTCTCCAGCATGCGTGGGCTTGCATTCGACTCAGCTTGATCCATGATCTCGGCAGAATCCAGAGTCGGTATCTCGTCGCCTTCACCTCCTCCTCCTCCTCCTCCTCCTCCTCCTCCACATCCACCATCTTCTCCCTCTTCTCCTCCTGATTCTAGCTCCAAGCACGTTTGCCCACCCGGTTGCTCATGCTTAGCTGCACATGGGGAAAGTGGGCAGTCTGTTCCACCCCCTCCTCCTCCCTCTCCTCCTCCTCCTCCTCCTCCTCCTCCTCCTCCTCCTCCATCTCCTCCTCCGCCCCCTTCCCCTCCCACTCCGATCTGTCCTCCCAACTCCTCCCCCGGCTCTGCATTGTCTGCCTCCATGGATTCTGACGTCTCTCTCCTTCCCTCCTGATTACTACCGCTAAGAGAACTATAACCATCGACTATTAATAGCCCCTCATCGTGCTGATGAGATCCCGAGCCATCTACGAAGGACGTGATCTCGCGAATAGACGAAGACAGACCCGATTGATAAACTAGCAGACGGTGGTGATGCAGCAGCTGCTGCTGCTGCTGCTGCTGCAGTTGCTGCTGATGGGGATGGCTCCCACTACTCCGTTGAATGGACTGCTCAAGCTGGTCGTACGAAGAGATGCGCAGGTTCCTTTCAGCGGGCATCAGCAATCCATTGGCAATCTCTATAGCACCCATCATCATGAGATCGGACGTCTGGGAAGCCGCTAGGAATAAACGGGCGCTGATGCTGATGCTCGATCGGAAGGTAAATTGAATCAGTAGGCAACAACGCAGAGGCAGACCTAGACGAGGCAGTGGGCGCAAGGAGAGAGAGAGTGGAAGAGGAGACGACGGATGAGGAGGAGGAACAGGAGGAGGAGGAGGAGAAGGAGAAAGGCGAAGGCGCCAAGGACGGACAGCAGCAGAACGACGCGCGTAAATGCGTGCAGCAGCAGATCAACGGCGGGGAAAAGCTAATTGATTCGTGATTGGCAGTGATGGAGTCATCCCAAGAATCTCTATCTGATCGTTCGATATTTCCGCAGTAAACAGACAAGCCGCCAAGTTGCTTCGAAGCAACAATAACTGAAGCTCTACAGCAATTCATTTTCATTTTCTTATCTTATTATTTATTTGCTGTTCCGTATTGACTTCTACAGGGGCCGTAGATCGATTCGATCTAATTCTGGCTCCCCGTCTCTATTTTCGTTGACGTTCTGCTTTCCCTCTCCCGCTGGCTCAATTCGGAGCGAGCCGCCCGTACGCCCTCCCACAGCACACCCAGGCAAACGACGATCGCCGTTGGCGGCTGGGGGCCTGTCTCTTATACACATCTAGATGTGTATAAGAGACAGCCTTCCTGCCGTGACTACTGCTAACCGCTTTCCGCCTCCTCCCTCAAGCCTACCGCTTTCCTTCCTCCTCTATCTCTCTCACCCACCAACTCAGAGACGAGACAAGGGAGACGTGTGAACCTCTCTCTCTCTCTCTCTCTCACACACACACACACACACACACACACACACACACACACACACGAACGTGAGATACTGACTGCATCAGCACTGCCAGTGTGTTGAGGGAGGAGAGAGAACGGAGTGTCATCTGGGATAGTATTTCTATGAACTCCAATTTATTAGTAGATAAATACATACGAAATTCAGTCAAAAACTTCCTAGCTTGTCGTATTACGTGAGAGAGAGTGGGGAACGGATCAACTACTGCAGTGGTCTGATGTGTGTAGTCGACGAGGAACAAGTTAAAACCCTTGAAGACATTATTTATCCAACCAGGTAAACTTCTTGGCAGATAAATCACAAATTTGGTGTGCAGCGTCGATGGTTTATCCGGTTAAGATCTACGACTCAATGCTCAAGCTCTTCTGTCAAGCGGGGAAGGTACCTTTTTTTTCTTTTTTTTTTAACTCCGACCGAGAAGAAAAAGCAACCCTATGTGCCTGGGTTACCCTGGTGTAGTAGTCTGTCCTCCGATACTAGAGTCTCCGGTCTATTAGTGGGGAGCAGCACTTGCGGGCGCGAAAAGCAATACTGAAACTTCTGAAAGAAAAGAAGATCATCGTGTTTAGTATCAAAACCCGGCGGCAAGATACCATTCCATGATGTCATTATGAACTAAAAATGATCGCGATTGCCTTTTTTTTTTTTTTTTTAACCGGGCTTGATATTTGGTTCCCTCTTTTTTTTTTTCCCCGGTTGTTTGTTGCGCGGATTTATTGACTCCCGTAATTATCCTCTGACCCAACGAGAATCCCAGAAAACTCTTAACTTGTGCGTCTAGCAGGTATCTGAAGAATAGTTGACGCCTTTGGATTTTTTTTGTTTTGTTTTTCAAAACAACAATAGATTCAATAAAATATTAAAATTAAAGGTTGAGGGGGAGGGAAATAAAAGATATGTGAGGTGAGAGAAAAATATAAGGCTGTCCCGCGATGAGGAGAGATGAAAAAAAAAAAAAAAAAAAAAGATACGCGGAAAAGAACAAGAATCAATTTTATGCTCGACCGCTGATGATTACAGTAACGTCCAGGTCTGACCACTTTGTGTTCCAGCATTTAAAAAAAATATAAAAAATAAAAAAGTCGAGTAAATAAAAAAGATGAAAAGAATTGAACACACAAAAAATTTTAAAAAATCGAAACCAGATAGCAACGTCCACTTGGCCTTCGAAACGGTGCCGGTTCGTTCAAACATATTTAAAAAAATAATAATAAATTAAAAAATGAAAAAAAAAAACAAAAAAAAAACAAGTGCTTCAAGGTCGAAGACATCTTTATCTATCTGTCTTGTCTTGGTGGCCCACTCTGCTCTGCTGGCGAGCCGCTCTTTTCTTTTCTTTTATTTGATTTTCTTTCCTTCGGCCTCTCATCTCACGGCGAGCGCACCACGAAGTGGATTGCCTTTTTCTCCGCTAGGGAACTAACCTATATATCGCCATTATATTCTCTAATAACGAGTCTAATTAAAAAATCAAAACAAAAATCAGATGTAAAATTAGTTTGTCACGTGCAAATCATGCACATGGGTGCCACCACGTCCAGGTGCATTCTGTCTGCTCTCATGCCATGGAACACAACTGGTACGCAATCAGCTTCACCGTCTGCTGAAAAGGACGTAATACTATGACAAAGGAGCATCTTCAGTTCAGGGGAACCCGGGCGGGGGGACACGAAAAGAAGGGAAAAGGAGACCAAAGCGGTGAGTGCAAGCACATAATCACAGCTGTGCTTTCCTGAATGTACGCGGATTGAATTCTGACCAGATTCCATCGAGGAAAGTCCTAGAGTGAGTACGCTCTAATTATGCTACAAAATATGGGCTCTCCATAAGCCCCGACTTTCCTCAACAGCATACCATCATACCTGTCTCTTATACACATCTAGATGTGTATAAGTGATAGGAGCAGCCACCGCTACCACCCGGGAAGAGGCTCCATCTACTGGTGGGGAGCATCACCTGCTGGAAAGTGGGTCCAGCGTCCCATATACAACTTATGATCAGGAAAACAATTTGGGGGGGGATCCAAGAAGGAATCAAACCACGTGAAATATCCCTTTTTTTTTTCATTCAGTCATATTATAATCAACATTTTTAGTAGAACTTTCTTTTTGTTTGCTTTCTTAATTAGTGATAAATAACTACCATTGCCCTTACCTGAGTAGGGACGTGAAAAAAAGGAGGAAATGCACACACACACACACACACAGAGAGAGAGAGAGAGAGAGAGAGAGAGAGAGAGAGAGAGAGAGAGAGAGAAGCTCTGAGATAACCTGGGCTTCTTCATGAAGACTGAAATACACCTGGACTGTCTGTGCCTGTGCAGTACAAACAGTCAGGTGCACGCGGCCTGACTGAAGTTGTTGCACAGCACCTGGTCGACGTGACCATGCAGATACAGACGGCAGGACCACCACCACCACCCTGTCTCTCAAGTTATACGGATGGCTCATGGATGCTANGGGGAGGAAGGGAGTGTGGTAAGAAGGGGGACTTGCAGAGAGAGTGGAAATCGTACCTAGATCTCCTTTGATCTCCGTGGAGGGGGGGCAGGGGGTGGTGGGAAGGAGGTGATCCCCGGGGAGGGGGGCAGGGGGGGACGAGGAGGAGGTAAAGGGGGACTGGTGTGAGAGGGGAGGAAGGTGAGGGAGGAAGCAGAAGGGGGTAAAGTTGAATTGAAATTGAAATGAATCTGGGCCGAGGTTGTGGGGCCGTTCATGCAGGGATCACAATGAATCCTAAGGCTTCTACCTGTACTATTTTGATTGCATGGTTTTCGTTCACCGACCAATGAACTTGGGCGGGTGGCTTTCCAATTCGCACTGATCAGAGCTTCGAATTGATCAAAGCTATAAATAAGTAAGTGTTAATAAATCAAATAAAAATAGTAATAAATGTGATGATGTGAACTTAGCGGGGTGGTTCTGTGTTATAATTAACGACTTGTGATGTAAGCTGGCTACCCATCTTCCCCTGGGCTCAACACACCCCGACGATTATGAATGTACACAAGCCGTCTTTCCAGTCCCATACGGTCTTGATGAGGGTGCATTCTGTTCGGGGCAACTACGAATGTACACAAACCGTCTTTCCAGTCCCATACGGTCTTGATGAGGGTGCATTCTGTTCGGGGAAAGACCGTACTTGCCGCCCAGAATGTGTCCTCTGCCATGATACCCCGCCCAAAAAATGCCCACATGCGTACGCTGGCGGCTCCACTCGCTGTGGTTGTCCCAGCTGTTCTTATCCTGCCGCTTCTTCCGATTTGAGCTCATGATCTCCCTATCAAGAGGGAACACGTTTGTGGCATTCAGCCAATTCAGCCGTATAGGCTGTTAACCTGTTGGTATCCTGATGAGCATGTGGCAAGTGGGACACTTGTGCGTCCGCTTTTTCAGATTCGAGCTCATGATCTCCCTATCAACAGATAACATGTTTGTAATACTGAGCCATATATATAGGCTGTCGAGTTGTTGTTATCGTGATGAGCGTATGTTCAAGTGGGACACTGTGGCGGTCTGGGACACTCTGGCGCTTTCCTTGGTTGGCTACGTGGACCTGGGATGGTCCAGGAACAAAGCACGGACCAGGGGCCAGGTCCCACTTACCTGAATGATCGATTTCTGACCGCAGATTCGGAAGATCAACGACCAGAAATCAAGGATCAGCGTAAGTGGGACTTGGCCCCAGGGGAGGCGTGTCCGGACAGCACGAGCGCAGGTCTCGTCTTGCTGGCTCTTGCCCGCCACGTTCCCTCCCACTTGTTTTGTCGTCATCGATGGGACCAAAGATCCATCCCCGTTGTTTTGTCGTCATCGATGGGACAAAAGATCGGGCCCAGCTGTGATAACCCTGGACTCCCGCCCACTACTACCTCTTCCTCTCCCTTCGCCCTTACGCTGCCGAGCGATGGGAAGAGGTGGTCCTCCTCTGGATTGTTTGCTTCCGACTGATCGCCACGACCCCGCCCGCGACTAAACCCGCCCCAATTCGCCCACACCTCTCGCTCCATTTCCCGTTTCCCGTCCCGCGCTGCCTTTGTTGCCTTTTACCCCGCCAAAATCATGTCACTCCATTTTCCCGTCCCGCTGCCTTCGTTGCCTTTTACCCCGCCAAAACATGACAATATCTTGGAGGCGAATAAGGAGGATTTGGGCGTGGCGCCCTCTCTCCCTCT